ATTTCCCTAAAATGTCCTTCTATGATTAAGAGCTAGAATTAAACTTTAACTGAACTGGAAAGCTTTCTCATCTAGCAAGATTCAAGAACAGCTGATACATTTTAACATACATCTTAAGCAATCTTTAATTAGAAAAACAGTAATTAAGAGTGAACCAAGCTGCAGTTTGATACAGAAATCCTACTGCTGTTTCCTTTTTCAGAAGGAAAGTGTTAATCCTGTCTGTGGCCACGACCTTACTCCTCTTGACTTTGTCTATTTGAAGCACTGCTAATGACTCTGTGACAACCCTGCTTCTTTTATAAATTTTTCTATTCTATAAGTACTTTTCTGCTTGCCCCTTGTGATTCTCATACCTATTTTCATTCCTTCCTTATACCTTATTTTCAGTCTTTAATTTCTTCATTTCTTTAGACCTTTTAATCCTGTCTGTGGCCACGACCTTACTCCTCTTGACTTTGTCTATTTGAAGCACTACTAATGACTCTGTATATGTAGCAGACGTCTTTCTTACATCCATTTCCAAACAAGTCCATGGGAGGTAGGCACCCAAATATTTGATTGGAAACTGCATCTCTTTTCCTCTGAATCGCTGGGAAGGAAAAGCTCTCAGATTAATGGAGAGAAGGTACATTGTATGATGAAAACTTGATAAAATAATTACGTAGTGTTGCATATATTTTATAGAGAAGGAGGAGTACTAAGAATTCCCCAGAAACACATCATCAGGTTTAATTTTTATTATTTTTAAACAGTGATGTGCTGATTTGTACGAGTCAATCAGACTCCGTCAGCTATAAGACCTACTCTTTTTATGAATGACTTTCACATTTTTCACAGGCTTAATGATTTTTCACATCCTTACAGTAACATCCCTTTCATTTAGTTCATTTAGCTGCAAAATTATGTCAACTGTGTTGCAATTTAGCAATGGGTCTTAGTGACAGATTGTAAATTTTTTTTATTTGGGGATAGATTATACCTGTTGAAACTATAGGAAATCAGACATTAAATTTGGCTTTAGCGTTTATTCCTTATAGTAAAGTACATGGTAAAATTCTCAGTTAAAACTACTTTGTCTTGAACTTTTTCATATTTTGCTTACTCTGTCAAACATGAGCTTGTTCGTTTGCCCTTAAAAATACAGAGTGGGATAAATAAAATATTACTGAGAGATTTAAATTCTGATTAGCAGTGCCTAAAAGCATATGTGATCTTGTTGATGTGGATTAAGGACACATTTTTTGCTCCTAAAGTATTTTTATGAGTTGTTTTTTTAAATACAAACTCTTCAGTAGCGTGTAAATCAGGTGAGGTATTAAAGGCAGAAAATGTGGAAAGTTGGATTTAAACCTTATTTATTTGAGCAGTGTCTCTAATTTACCTGTTTTGAAGTGGAGTTAAACTCAGCAGCAAAAACTGTTTGTGCCAAATTCAGCAGTGTGAATTCACCATCACAGCTATGCTAAACTTAGTCAGCATTTGCAGTCTAGCAACTGGAATAGAAATTCTTCAATCCCGAGTCTTTTATTTCCACCAGGGACATGGATACTGCAACACAGGTAGTCTCGTTCTTCATCTTTTTCCATTCCATCACGGTGAAAGAGTTTCATAAATTGAAACCAGGAGGGGAAAAAAATAAAAATAAATCTTTTTTTAGATTAAGGGTACCAAAGTTGTTAATCAGGTTAGTTACATATTAGCAGTATTAGGAATAATAGGAATTATGAAACTTGATTTGGAGGAGGAGGAGAGAAGTTTAAAGGAAAATGCGGTTCAGGTGTGACAGACATCCTTCATCTGCTGTAAATAAGCAGCAAGTTGGAGACCTTTTGATGGTGTGGTGGAGAAAAAAGGCTTCATAGAAAGCTTCCAGCCTGTGTCAGCTGAAAACCTGTACCTTTATTTTCACAGCTTTTCAGCAGAGTTAACCTTCTGGGCCAGATTCAGACCGGTGACCCTGCAATTAGACTCCTGTTCCCGTTGCTCTCCCACAGCCATACAGCTCCTTTCTCTGCTTGAGTCTCCTCGTGAATGATGTTTGCACTAGGGGAGAGATGCAGCTGTAATATTAATTTTGACCGCATACTATAGATTGTCAACTTTATTTTGGTGTAGGGGAAGGCTTATTATTATTTGTGTTTTATCTTTCCTTTCCGCTTTTTGACTGAAGAAGCTAGCTGTCACAGAAGACCAGGTGATTGCATATATTAGCGCACTGTTACCCATGTATTATTTTTGCTAGCCCACTAATTACAGTTTGTCTTATATTTAAATTGTAAACTCCCTAGGACAGGAAAATGCAATGTTTTTGTTTATATCCAGTACAAAGGATACTCTGATCTTATTATTTCTTGCAGTCACTCCCAGAACTGCTAATCATTTCAGACAAGCCTTAATTTTAGTTGGTTTAAGAACTTCGGTGGTCAGGCTTTCTTTGTTTTAATAAAGAGGAAGAATCAGCATTACAAATAATCACAAGTAATTGGCTAAAGAAATATACCGTAATGTAGTTTGCCAGTGTTTTTTTAGACAAAAAATTCGAAGTAGAGCATAATATGTCAAAGGAGTACCCGTTTCCTGCCTAATAGCATCACTAGTACTTGGGGGTCATCATTTTTTCTTTCTTTGGTATTGAAAAAATAAGAGGTTTCAGAGTTCCTGGATTTTGGGTGTTTTTGTTTTGTTTGGGGGTGTTAGTGGTGGGTTTTTTTCCTCTTTGAAACCTCCTTGTGGATTTTATTTTCTCTTGTTTGAACTATGTCTACAGTAATAGTATATAAAGCACTCTGGTGCTCTAGAGAGCGATACTAGAAATTCATGAATCTTGGCAGGTAGTGACAGACCATGTTTTATTTTAGGCATGCAGGACCTGACATGAGCGGTGATGCATTAGTATGTGTTAGGTACCTGAAATCAGGTTATTGAATCTTCACAGAGACCTCCCAGTTGATACGCAAGCACTTCCAAATTGTAATGTTGCCTCCAAGAGGGAGATAGATGCCAGTTGGGAAGCATGCCAGCTGTCTGAAATACACCTTTGGAAAGATCTAGCTGTAAAAAGAGGCTGTACCTAATGTATGTGTCTTCATTGTTGCTTTTTGTCTCCTCCCATGCTGTATAGCACTATTCAGAGGAAACCACCGTCCCTTCCAAGCCCCTTCCATTTTCCCCTTTAAATGGAAAGAATCATCTTGGTTTGTTGTTTGGCATTGTTGCAGGTGGAGCTGGAGGTCACGCTGCCAGGAGAAGGAAAGGACAGAATATTTAAGGTGGCTATAAAGTGGATGTCCTGTGTGAGTTTGCAGGCTTTACATGATGCTCTTTCTGGTCGGCTGCCAAGTGTCCCGTTTGAAACCATCCAGGCACTGGATGTAGTGATGAGGCACTTGCCTTCCATGAGGTGAGGGGAAGACCTTGACGTGGTTTAGGAGGTTGCATTGTTATTTGAATCGCTGCAGTGGCTTTTTGGGTAGGATGTGCTTTCATAGCTCAACCACAATAATAGCTATCTGGCGGATGGCGTGCTCAGGCAAGAGGCAATACAGTGCTGTTCTGCTTATCCGGTGGAATTAGTAGCCTCCAGCCTGGATGCAAGTCCCTTTCCCCACTAGCCTTCAAACATGCTCCATGTTTGTGTGCCCTCAGATGAGGGGTGCCCTGCCATCTCACTCATACCCCATTCCTCTGTAGGCATCGGAGAAGGAAGCCCTCCCCAAGTGGAAAGTAGTTGGAGGTTGGTAGGTGTGTAAGGGTGGTTTTAAAACTTGTTACCCTGTTCCTATGTGTCCTCGGGCAGATGTTTATTGCCAATTTTGCGTAAAAGATACTGTGCTAGGGGGACATTAATGTCACCCAGTATAGCTATTTTTATAGAAAAGAAAAACTTGAAAATGATTTTTTTTTTTTTTTGCCAAGCAAGTGGGATCTACAGCACTTGCAGTGAAACCCAAGTTATACTGGGTTTAATTCTGCTGCCATGAAACAAGTCACTTAAGACCACTGTTCAAATTACATTTAATTGGAAAGTAAAGAACAAAGCTTGGTAGGGCTGAACTTTCCCATTTTGAAGGGCTAAACAGGGAAAATTAGTTAAATTTATGTAATTATCTTTAAATAGCCTTATATTATGTTGACTTCATCCACCCATTAAGGATAAAAAAAAAAAAATCACTTTAGTCAGATTTTGCAACACAGAAAACAGCTCAGACTAGTTAGTCACACATCTTTGTTCAGAGAAACGTATTGGCGCTTGTTTTGATTAGTTTGATATTAAGTGTGCAATACCAAATTATCAAGATGAAAGATGCATCAAAAATACTTGTTAGATCAGTTGTTTACCCATGCAAAGTTTCCATGGGTTTCAGAGGAAGCTACACACAAGTAAGGGGAGAGGTTATTACATCGTTGTTTTAATAGCAGAGATGTTTAACTGTTTTCTTACTGAAGCATAGCTGAATTTTTAAGAGTACAAAAAAGTTATTGCTGCTTTTTGTTTGAATTAGTAGGTATATTAAGAAATATCCTGGAAAATAAATTTAAACAAACATGAGTAGTAGTCAATTTCTTACTGTAACTAGCTGGATCTTAAGAGGTGTAACCTGAGTCCTGACAGAAATCTCAGAGGGTTGGTAATTTGAAACATTGGCAAAAATCCTGTGCTTTTGTGAACAGGAATTTGCGTTAGTCATGGCTTTATTACAATTTATTTTTTTGCTTTAGTTTTATGATCTGAATTTATTTTCTTTATTGCAGATATACTCCTGTGGGGCGGTCTTTTTTTACAGCATCAGAAGGGTGTTCAAATCCATTGGGTGGTGGCAGAGAAGTTTGGTTTGGCTTCCATCAATCAGTCAGACCTTCATTATGGAAAATGATGTTAAATATTGATGGTAGGTCCTATAAAAGTCTCTTCTTGTTCCTTCTTTCTCTTTCAGTGCAAAGGCAAAAATTTAATTCCATTTGTTGGATTTCTTAAAAATTTCCTTGATATTTTTGTAATACAGCGTAAATGTTTTTGTCTACAGTATCTGCAACCGCATTTTACAAAGCACAGCCAGTTATCGAGTTTGTATGTGAAGTTTTGGACTTCAAAAGTATTGAAGAACAACAAAAACCTCTGACAGATTCCCAAAGGGTAAAGTTTACCAAAGAAATAAAAGGTAATAATTAAATTACATAAAACTGCTTTATTCTATCTGATGATATGTTACCACTACATGTTCAGAATATTTTCTCTAGCCATTGCCGTATTGGGAGACAGATTATCACAACAAACAGTGCACATACACTTTTTGAGCAAAACTAAGAGGCAGGAATCATTTTATTACTTACATGTATTTCAAGACTTTCAGAAGTCTGCTGATCAATGTTATGTTTTAGTCTACTTGTCCTTCATTCTTACTGCATTGGTTGACCTCTGTGGCTTGACAGAGTCACTTTGTGAATATGAGCAAAGTTGGGTCAGTTCAGGTAAGTATGTGACTTCAGATTTGATGAATCACTGGTACAAAAAGTTAAGTGAGCATGTTTATTTATTGAACCAGCCACATTTAGGACTCAGGTATGCACATAAGTAAATTACCAGGTATTCAAGAATCTGTGGTAACTATATATGCATGTGTTTTTTGCCTGTGGCAAATATAGGGCAGTTTAATTAGCTTTGCACTTAATGAAAGTGCTTTAGTGAAACAATGAACATGATATGTTTTACTCTAAGTGATGGTCTGAGCTAAAACTTTCTAGCAGATGGATGATAATTTATTTTAGTGAGATTAGTTACTGACTTATGGCTTGTGCAAGCTTCTCCTCATTTAAGCGTAGGTTCTCTTGACATTCCTTTGGGGTTTTTTTTGTGCCTCACTACCACTTGATCAAGTGTCATGTCAAAGTTACTGGTGTGTGTTGGCATCTGAGAGCGTCTCAGTGCAGAGGTACTACTGAGATCTTTTCAGCATGTAGAGCAGCATACCTTATTGTGTCAGCCTCCTTAAAAACAATTTATCTTTCCAAATGAATATTGCTTTATTGTATTTAGAAGTTATATTTACTGTAGTGTGCTTTACTCTTCTTAAAGTACTTCCATCTCTAAAGTAAATACGAGTTAACAGTTATGAATACAAAAATTTTGTATTTTTGACTTTTGAAACATATCAGTAGTGCCAGTCCCAGTTCCAGGACAAAGATACTCCACGTCCTAATCTGATGATTTCAAAGTGTTTACGAAGACTGGGATTTCATTGTTCTTTCTAAAATTATCTGATCTTAAATTTTTTCAATTACTGATGTCAAGATTTTTATGTTCCAGATTTTACTAATAATTTAGCAATTTTTTTTGCATACTTAGGTATATTTCATACATATCTTCTCCTGGAAGTAAATTATGGTTTTTCTAATATGTAATGACTGAATCAAAGAGTAGCAGAAAGGAATTTTACTGGTTTTGTTCACTGAAGGTTTCTTTTGGACAACTGAGATCCTTCCTTCATGATATGCTTGATAGAAGGAAAGCAAGCTAAAAAAGAAAAACTCTATGAATCTATCATGCAGCTTCCTTGTTTCCACAAAATCATCTTCGCCCAACTAGAAGCTAGCAAGCACAATATAAATAAATCCCGAGTTCGTACTGGTTGTAAATGCTTTGAAAAAATAATCAGGCACTGAATTTCTGGCTGCTATTGTCTTTTTTTCCCATGAGGATTTTCATTCTTCAGAGAGAAGTCATCTCAAATTTGCAGCAAAGGTAGTTGTAAATTGAGGTACTGAGGTAACAGTTTATCTTTTAATGAAAATACTGTGATACAGATTTCAGAGGTATTCATGAAAACTTGGTATTTATTGAAGGTTTCATAATAGATGGCACTTTGAGCCCTAACAAATTACATGGAAAGATTACTATGTTTTTGGCAAGTTATTATTGCCTTTGACAGGGGAAATATGCAGTGTTACTCAGCAGCAGCCTAAGATCATGTACACGTACAGATATATAAGGAATTCCTATCTACAGCCCCCTCCTTCCTATTCCCACACATTCAATTTCCTATCTCTAATAGGCCACATACACCTGTTTCTGCCTGAGCATGAAAATAATATAAATAAACCCACTGCATTCAAGCTTGTATTTGTGGGTAATGGTGAATTAGAAACACTTCTTTACAGGTAGCTGTGGTGTTCTTGTTTTGGGTGGATAATCTATTCTTCTAGAAGTTACTGACTTTCAGGTGGGCTTGGCTTTTGAGCCAGTGTGGTTTGCAGCAGGTGCTTGTCTTCACGAAGAATAAAGCCCCGTGGCCTCATTCCTGTGGGCTCCTAGAGGCTGTACGGGTATTCTGCTCCACCCTGCTGATCCATTCGTTCAGGGTTGGTTGCAATAGTTGGAGGTCTCACAGATACCGTATGTTTAGACCTTCTTTAGAGGTACAGAATTGGAATTCACAGAATGCATTCAGCTTCGTGTGCAAACTCTTGCGTCTTTGGGGTTTTGTCTTGTTTCTAAAATTCTTTGTTGAACTTTGGCTGAAGCTCAGCATTTTTGAATTTTAAAACTATAAATTGTGGGGGATTTTTTTTAGTTCCATCTGGTATACCCTTTGGTGCTTGGAGAACGTGTTAAATAGTGAATAGCTTTACTGCACAGTTCCAAGTGGTCTGGTGTAACAATTTAGGGGGCTGACACCTTGATTGTGAAGAAATGGTGATACGTGTTGTCCAATTTTTAGGTCTAAAGGTGGAGATAACACACTGTGGACAAATGAAAAGAAAGTACAGAGTGTGCAATGTCACCAGACGACCAGCAAGTCACCAAACGTAAAGTATTTTGCTTCTTTTTAAGTGTATGTTTAATCTCAGGCTGGAAAAGTATCTTGCCTGCCTTACTGACATAGGAAAAGTTGTCTTGAAAAATGATACTTTCTTTGGACAATACATTTAAAATACACCTCAAAGTATTTTTCCAATTTTGCTGTTCTTTTTGTTCTGTTTTTATTCTGGAATGAATGTCATGATATTTGAACCAATTGCTTTTTTTTAAGTGTGTGGTGTGGGTTTGGGGTTTTTTTTTCTGTTTTGTTTTGTTTGTTTTTTTTTTTATTTACAGATTTCTTCAACATTGGAAGAACAGGGTGCCCTATTGGTAGCATAATGTTTCCCAGAACTGTTGAGTAGAAAAGTAGTGCCGATTGGGATCAGCTTTCTAATCTTGCTTATTACCAATGTATTTGTCCTCTGGAAAAAAATGTTTGTTTTTTAATCTCTAACCAGGGATTTGCAGATAACTTGAATATGGATGTATTTATTCCCATTTTTAAGAAAGTAGCATAAGGAACAAAACTGATAACCAGCTTTTTACAAGATAATAACTGATCAATATCTAAATCTGATATTTAATTGTTTGGGCTTTGTTTCGTGCTTTCAGTGATGTGTTATGTTAATGAAAAGACAATGTTGGTGCCGCCTTGATGTAAGTATATGCAGATGTGTGTGCATATACGGAAATTTATTTGTAATGTACAGAAAGAGAAATGTGTTTCTGAATCAATAATCGGGTTTGCGACACTCATAGTAGGCTTGCTATTTTCTATGCATGGCATATCATAAAATGTAGTACTGTGAATATTTCAAATAAGCAGAAAACATTAGTCTTTGTCTCTAAGGCACCTCCTCTTAGCAAACTTAACTTACAGCTTCAGGTATCAACAATGTTAGAGAAATAGCCTTCTTTTGTGTTATTAGAAGACACACAGTTGTGGCAATGATGGTCTCTTAATTATAGAAGTACACTTGCATCATTTCAGCAAGACAAGTTTAATCGCCAGTAAGCTTAACTTGTGCCAAGAAGTGTATTGAGCAAGTGTGGGAAAGCATTCTACATAAAGTAATGACTTATTTTCTTATTTGATTTCCAATAAAATCAGCAGGAGAATGGACAAACAGTTGAATGCACAGTAGCTCAGTATTTTAAGGACAGGCATAAATTAGTTTTACGCTATCCTCACCTTCCATGTTTACAAGTTGGACAGGAGCAGAAACACACATACCTTCCTCTTGAGGCAAGTAAACTAATAGATAATACTGTATTCTGGGAATGAGGAAAGGGGATTGGAGGAAAAAGGACTCAAATGTTGACAAACTGTTTTTGAGTAGCCAACTTTAGAAATTTTGTAGTGCCGCAACAAAAAAAACCTCAGAAAACCAAACCAAACAAACAAAAAAAACCCCCAAACCAGTTGCATTGTGTTTTTTAACTTCCTTGGTGTGGGGATATTTTAGGTGTGCAACATAGTGGCGGGACAAAGATGCATAAAGAAACTCACTGACAATCAAACTTCCACTATGATTCGAGCAACTGCCAGATCAGCACCTGACCGTCAAGAAGAGATTAGCAAATTGGTGAGTGTTCTGTCAAAGATGAGTGAAGCACAGTAATAGATTTAATTTTTCTCTTACTGTTAGCAGATACTGAATAGCTTGTGCACTACACACAGGTTACGTACTTGTTTTTATAAGCCTTTCTCCATTAATCAGAGAAATACATTCTCACAAAAGGCTTTCAAGTGGTTTTTTTGGTGCTTTATTTCAAATTTTGAGGCATCCATGTATCCAAGTGAAATTAACAGAGGCTCCGGATATGTGACATCACCCATATGTAAGGGGTATGTGCCCAGATAGAGGATATCTCAGAAAGTATTAGATTGCATAAAAAGCACTTCTTTTTCTGCAAGAAATATGTAATTCCTTTTCATTTCAGATGCGGAGTGCAAGTTTTAATACTGACCCTTATGTTCGTGAATTTGGAATAATGGTCAAAGATGAAATGACAGATGTGACCGGTAGAGTCTTACAGCCTCCTTCAATCCTCTATGGAGGCAGGGTATGTTGAACAGATACTCTGTGATCTGTGATAGCTTCCATTACCAGCTGTGGTAACTTCTGTAATAAGATTCTTTTGAATTAATTATGTTGGATGTAACGGGATAAAGTCATCATAAGTGTAATGTTTAGAACTTAAATGTAAGTTTTGAAAGCCCTTAAATGTAATGGACATTTTGCATCTCCTTCAATTACTTCTTTATTTCTGAAAGTAAAGCTAGGTAAAAAATGCATTTATGTAAAATTCAGAGAAAAATGTGTGTATTTTTCCTTCACGCACTGTTTTATTGCATGTTGCAAGAAGAAACCTGCAAATAGTGGTTCAAATCAGTGTTTATGGAGAAGAACAGAGACAACTTCAATTATTACTGTTTATATTTTCTTCCCTTAACTCTGAAATCTTCCTGAACTTCTGGTTGGTTTTGAGTGTTCGGGGTGGAGCAGCTGTGTTTAGGACAACTATCTTAAGGTGTTATCTCTATCAGCATGTTTTTCTCTAGAGCCATCTCTTGCTGTTGGAGTATTTACTCTCAGGTTTTTTCTTCACAGTGGCTTTTCAGATGGCCTTTCTGACATAATCTTCCTACCGTGTCTTTCAAAAAAAGCTGGAGGAACAGGATTTTCTATCGATTATATAGCATGTCTTGTTTTTATGCAAGATAAAAGCTTTGATAGCTGGGATAACTTAATTTATGGAGGCTTCTGATGAACCTCTTCTAGATCATGCATTGCCAGCTGAAGATAGTTCTGACCCTGTGCACAAATCAGACTGTTACCTTCATAAACCTGCAGTGGGAAGAGGATCTTGTGTCTTCTACCTAAAGCTCTTCAGACAAAATTGGGCAGATTAGCTCAAACCTTCTTTCACTGACAGGTTAAGATAACCCAGCTGTCTTTGTCTGATCCTGATTAGGGAGAGTGCTCTCATGAACTATTCTGGCACCAGGGGAACAGGGGGAACAAGAGCTTAATGGCAGATGAATGATGGAAAGTTGGAGTGGGGGAGGTACTGCCTTCAACAGACACAACTCCTTGCAAAACGAATTACTAAATTTCTGTGTCCCCTGAAAAATTCCCATAAATTTTAGCTGTTGCTATTAAATAAGAAGGCAGACATTGTGGTAACTTGTCTAAAACATTTACAGGATACTAATACTTATTAAGGTAATTAACATCACCAGAATTACTTTAGTCATCTTATTATATCCCTTTGTCCTCTAGAAAATCCATCACAGTAATGTCTGCTTGATGGGAGTTTAAAAAAGTGTTGCACAGGTCCAAGTTGAATAACTGATCATCTTTGGTCAGCTTGTTCACGTTTTTTTTTTCTAGAGTTGTGTGAGTGACATCGAACCACTATTTGCTTCTACTTAGTGATGTGTAAAATATTGATAATACTTAAATTAAGTCGCTCTTGGAAAGTTCACTGAGCAGTTGTAAAGTCACTGTAGAAATATACGTTCTTGTTAACGTTACATACCAAGCATGAATCTGACTTACTATCCCTATGTGATTTCTGTCTGCTGCTGATTTATATAACCAAAGGAAACCATCAATAATAAAAATGAACTATATGAGCATTATTTTTATGAGCTTTATTTCTCACCTGGCTAGCAAGCTGTCTTGCTACACTGATAGAATGATCTTTGCGAGATAGGATAGATGTTTGAACAGCAGAGAGAAAGACCTGAGAATATAAATAGCTTGCGAGTTGGAGGGAAGTAGAAGTGTAACTGATTTTTGTTAGCATGAATCAATTTTTGCATTAGTGTTCCAGTTTTGTTTTTTTTTTCCTTCCACTTCCAGAATAAAGCAATTGCTACACCCGTTCAAGGAGTCTGGGACATGAGGAATAAACAGTTTCACACTGGAATTGAAATAAAGGTTTGGGCAATTGCATGCTTTGCTCCCCAGCGCCAGTGCACTGAAGTTCATCTTAAGTAAGTGTGTTTGATAAGATGGTGGTTTTATAATTTATTATGTATGGCAATATCATCATTTCACTTATTTAGAATATATATTTCGTTATATTAACATATGGCAATACATCTTTAACAGTGCTTTTGAGAGTGTGCCTCTGTGTGTTTTGAATGATGCCAGTATGACTCCAATGTTAGCATCATGAAATCCTCTAAATCAGACTTACCAAAAGCAATTTATACTATATGGCAGGTTTCTGACCAGTGAGGCCTTAGGACATGACCGAAACGATTTAATGATGGGTGTTTAACTTTCACTCTTCACAAATACTTAATGATAACATCTATGTCATCTTAGGTTCTTTTCCTAGTTATATGGAATAGATTTATTCATGCAGAACTTATTTAAAGAGAAAATTTTAAGAAACAATCCAGCTTTTCTCTAAAACTTTCTACCCTCTAGAGTTACTGTAATGTGCAAGTTGCTGTATTTGCAAGATGAGTAGGACTAGTTGTTTTGTTGACTTTGAGCATTTGAATGAAACTTTCAAATTTGATTTCTCTGTCTTTGGCTGGAAGGTGATTGCTGAAAGGCTGTTGTTAAGTGACATCTACCATTCTTAGATCAAGAAAAGTATTCATGCCTGCCTAGGTGGATTGTCTAATTCCTTCTTTTGCACGCAGTTGCTTTCCCTTCGTGCATGGACAAGTGCAGCTCTTATAGCTGCCCTAGCAGGTGACTCAGCTGCTCTTTGTAAGGTGAATGCAAGACGACGATTGTTCATAACAACAGTGTTCCTTTAGATGATTTGCCAAATAGCTTGGGAATTTTTCCATAACAAGTGGTGAGCAAACAGTGGGACTCTTACCCTTTACTTTTCTTGCTATTGTGTAAGGCTAGGGACTTCTTGTCTCCGGGTGCATAGCAGGAACTAAGCTGCCAGAGAATCTTCCCTTTCACACTGTTTCTTCTAGTGGAAATGCTGTGTAGGAGAAGTTGGTCAGTTTTGAGAGTCAGGCAGAAGTCTTCAACATAATAAGCCAAAATAAAATTATTTGATGACTTAGATGGAGTTTGTCCTTACTGTGAAAGGACATTCCTTCATATTAGGAATATGGCTGCATCCAGTTGTGTCTTGTTACATCTTGTTGAGCAAGTTGGAACTCAGCTGCTGTAGATCCATCAGAGTAAATACCTTCAAAATCCCAAAAAGCCTTCAAAATCATCCTGCTTTACCTCTCGGAACAGGGAGAGAACCTTTCCTCTTAGACATCATACTTCGCTTCGAGACATGGTTTAGTGGGCATGGTGACGTTGGGTAGACAGTTGGATTTCATGGTCTTTGAGGTCTCTTCCAACTGTAACAATTCTATGATTCTGTGACTTCTAAAGGCTCAAAACGGGTGTCATTTTAGACTTGCGTGTTCTGCCACTGACTTTCCGCTTATAGTGGCGAGTGCCTGTTTTGCCAGGGAAAAAGCTTAATGCGCCTATTTTCTGCAAGAAGCCACAAGCTGCAGGGCTGAAGCTCACAGGTTGTTATGATTCATGAAAGTTAACAATGGGTTTGGAAGAAACTAAATCTTCACACCCTCGTCACTGGGTAAGACTGTATTACTGGCACCCACTGGTGAAGACGAGCAGCTTTTTAGATGCCTGTGGGGGTACCCACTCCAAAATAATAAAATGGGCTTTGTCAGCATTTATGTCGGTTAAGCATTGCTATCTAGGATCAGGCATTTACTATGCTGGTCGTTAAACCAAGTGCCAAAGGACATCTCTGGGTGTGTCTGCGCTAGTCTTTTAGTTTGAATCAAGAGTCCTTATTTGAAGTGATACTCCTGATGGTCACCAAATTGCCATACCATGTTGTGCATCAAGGAGCAGTCTGAGTGTGCAGTGTGGATTTTTTAATTTTTTTTTTTTTTTTAAACCCGAACTAGAGGATGTCCTTCAGTCACTAACGAACATTCAGCCCACTGCACCAGACTACAGCTGCTCGGACGAAAAATCCAGAAACACATGTAGTGTGGATGCTGGTCCCTTGGCACCACGCACTCCACTCTATAGGTCTGCATTGTGACACCTCACTGCTTGCCTATCTTGCCTTTGTTTTGTGAGGATGGGAGTTACAGGCTACTCGTACATCACTGACTGCAGGCATCTAACTTGGAGAAGCCATGACTTTGAAGATGCTTTCCAGACTGGGTATACTTCGTAGAGCCCTGGAGTCCTACACTGAAGTGCTTTGAATTGTCTTGCTTGCAACAGGCACAGTGTCTTCTTGGTGTCCCTTCAGAAGGAAAGATAGCTGAACGCTACCATGTCAACAAGAGCCAGGAGAAGGGGGCAGGCTGCAATGCAGCATACCCTGCTAGCAGGGGACCTGAAGCAGTCTTCACTGATAAAAACCTCTGACAAAGTTAGGTTGTCTCTGTTTCTGACCAGTTCCATCAAAAGGTGACTTCTATTTGCACCGTTCTTGGAGAAGGTTTGTCTTCACCACCAGGGTACACCTTTTCTTTGATAACTCTAGCAAACTTTTCTTGTGCGTTATTATTGATGTTGATCAATTTGCTGAGATACAATTGCTGGTAACTTCTGTTGGTTGTTTTCCGCACCAAGAAAAATGAGGAACTCCAGCCATTTCTGTAGTGGTAGCACTACATGGAAATATGGTAGGGCAGCTATCCAAAATATCATCATTGTAGTGTTTTTGCAAAAAGTAGCTTATACTGTATCTCCTGTAGAAAGATCGAATAAGGTAGAATTTGCTTTGGAAATCAAGTTTTTAGTTATGGTGTTATTTATACAGTGTATTTCCTCATCTTCCCATTTTTCCTTCAGTGACTATGTTGGCACAGTCAATTAAAGATGCACTTGGGGTAAATTCCCAGGTTTTTGGACAGTGCAATTCTGCAAGTTTAACAGGATTGTTCCATTAAAAATAAGAACAAAAATCAAGATGGATTTTGCTACCTGAGAATCTAATGTATTTATTTGCATGCTTTAGGTCTTTTACAGAACAACTGAGGAAGATTTCCAGAGATGCGGGAATGCCAATCCAGGGGCAGCCGTGCTTCTGTAAATATGCGCAGGGAGCTGACAGTGTGGAGCCCATGTTCAGACATCTCAAAAACACTTATACTGGGCTGCAGCTTGTTGTAGTAATTTTGCCAGGAAAAACACCAGTCTATGGTCAGTAAGTGCAAGTCATGGGTGTTTCAGTCACGATTTCTTGTGGTTTTTTTGTGAAGTATCTGAATGAGAGAAGTTCTGTTCCCTAAATTCCATTTAGGGAATGGGCTATAAATTAATTGTATTATTCTTCTTGTGCTTCGTGGTGTTCTAAATTAAGACCTTAATTCTCTCATTATTTTTGTCTGTGCTTTTAATTTGCTTTTCCACGTTCTTCCTGTTGGTTGCATTTGAAATGCAGTTTGTGAGTGAGAAAGCTAAACCAGGGCTTTTGTGAAATTGTTGGAATTGATATGCAGTGGATTAAAATATACTCACTATAATTTGTGTGCTAAAAATTCCAAGTGATTGAAGAAGTAATGATCTCAAGGACCATGTAGCTTTTAGAATGTCTTTGCTTACTCATGTCATCACCCTTTGGCAGAAGAAGTTGAGTGAAGGAGAAGATTTCTGCCAATCTAATTCCCCCGCCGCCCGGTTCTTTCAGTTTTTTTAACTCTTGGCTTGTGAGGACACAGATGCGTGGAAGGTGAAAACTCAGCAATTTAAACTGTTTTTTGGAAATAGATTGACAATTAGTGCATTTTACATAGCACTTACACACAGGTTTTAATATGTTTTAGATAAACTGTATAGGCAAGACTGCTCATTTTCGTATCCTGCCGCCTTCTTTTTTTCACTTACCTTGCCTAATTGCAGCACCATCCACTATTTTTCTCCCATAGCTTCACGGACTCTCCCTTCTCTCATGACTCAGATCTACCAAGCAGCTGCAGATTTGTTCCATCTCATCCCATCCCTCACCTTCACCAATTTAATATACCAGAAAATAATTTCCTGACTTTCTTTCCCCAAGATTTTTTCATATAACACAAAAAGAGAGATTAAAAGAGGAACTTTAACAAAATAGTACTTTTCTTCCTATTGAATTCAGCCTTGCAAAGGAAGTGGCTCGTCTCCAATTTGTTCAATAGAAATTCAGTGCAAAGTGACATTTTCACTTTTCCTGCTTGGCATTAAAAGGAGACTCTTTCCTGTACTTAACCACTGAGAGGATGTGGTACAACTCTCATCTACTTTCCTTGTAATTATCTTTAATTATAGTTCTTTCTGCCCTCTCTAATCATCTATTTTCTCCTTGTGCTTTTCCATACTCTTGCACTTCCTATACCACAATCTTGTCTTTTCTCTTCTCACCCTGCTCCTCAAAAAACAAAAAAAACCTGTTGCCAAAAGAGGGTTGGCATCTTCTCTGAGCCTGTCTTGGAGCCTAAATTTCTTCCTTTCCTGAGTGTAATAGGATGACTCTGTTAAAGCCTTTAAGTCTCAATTTTGTTGTTAACAATAGGATTTGTTTTAATCTTTTGAACAGTATAGTTCTTAAAGACTCCGAAAGAAACTCATTATGGGCCATCCTTCGCTAAACCGGCCACTTTTTCTGCAAGTGATGCACTGATAAACTGGTTGGCTAAATATTGCTCAGCATGTTACTATTAAGTTTGCGTTACTAGTCCGGTGTTTAATAATGAAACAAGTGCTCATCATCCTAATATGACCACATTACTGTAATATATCCACATGACCTACCTCATTAGCCAAAGGTTCTTCCTTACAAATGATAGAACGCTATAATTCTAAAATTACAATTAGTGTAATTTAAAAAAAATTCTTGGTTAAAATAAGCCAACAGTGCCTTTAGTTATATTTAGGACCCAGTAACCGTGCTGTCAGCAGATGGAGCAGTACAGAACTGGGAGGAGATTTATGGGAGGCTGGGGTTGGGTTTAGATTTCTTCTTGTTTCTTTAAGCTTAATGACCACTTCGCTAAAACTCTAGGTGTAGTTGATTGTCACTAATGTCTCCTATGTTGTTTGATTTACAGTATGTGAATGTTTTTTGGTTTTTCTTTGTTTTGCAGCGGAGGTGAAGCGTGTTGGCGACACTGTGTTGGGAATGGCTACACAGTGCGTTCAGATGAAAAATGTGCAAAGAACAACACCGCAAACTCTGTCTAACCTTTGCTTAAAAATAAATGTCAAATTAGGAGGCGTAAATAATATTTTACTGCCACAGGGAAGGTAAGCCATCTTTCAGAGAGGAAGAGGGTGTTGCATTGTAAAGAGAACATGCGTCTCATTTAAGATAACTGGGTGCTTTTATCTGTAGTCATAGCACTGTAGTTTAAGTAGCTATTCAGACAAACTACCTTTTGGCTTCTAATAAATAGTCCTGCAAAAGTTAGGTTATGAAGACTGGAGAGGAATACTTGTTCCAGTTGAAATTTATAATAAAAATACTGTTATTGCAATCTGACCATTGAAATATACAACTTTCATTTGAATGAAAAATTTACAATATTTTATTTACCTTGAATTTTCGGGAACAAATAGAGACCATCTTGAATAGTAATGCCTTTCCCTTTATAGTTTAATTATGGTCAAGAGTCTTCATTTTGTAGTATGTCTTAACTTGCATAGGCATTTAAACGACCAAAAGCTGGGAGCAGAAAACTCTTTAATTGGTTTCCAGGTCCAGTTTACCTTGCAATTTCTTATTGGTATTATGTTCATAAGTTTTAGTTATACTGTGACTATACTATTGAGTTCCATATCTGACATGTCACTAAAATCCTGCGTATAATTGAGTGGGAGTCAAATAAGTATTTTTCTTAGTTGTAAAAAAAAAAAAAAAAAGGGGACCCTGCTGTTATAGACTAAATTTGGTTTTGTATTGTCTTAAAACAAATGTTCTTAAATTGAAGATTTTAATCAGTTTTATTGAAAAATCAGTGACAAGAAATTCTAGTGGAAGAATGAACAAAATACAGCTTGTTTTGTCTTACCTGTGCAGGATAGAGAAGGCTAGGATAAAGATACGTAAAGTTACTTTAATCGACTAGGTTTCTACGTCAGTAAAAAGATGTCATTTAACAGTCATTGTATTTCAAGTGCTAGGGAGAGCTCAGGGAATAACCTGCTACATCATTCCTGGGAGCCTGTTTCAAAGAAGTCAACAATCTGTTTTGCACAGATAAGACATTTTCACTTCGACGTATTTAGGCTAGTCGGAAGGCAACTACTGAAAAATAATCCAACAACAAGTACTTAGGGAGGGGAAAAAAAGACATATTTTCAGAAGGGATATGGATCTTGTTAAATTCTGTTTATTGCACTAAATATAGTCAGCTTGGGTAATGTGCTTGTTGGAGATTCCTATTAAAGCAACTAAAAATCATCATATTACAGAGCATGCACTTCAAAAAGGCACAGTGGGTTTTTTTGTTGGGTTTTGGTTTTGTTTTACAAAAAGGAGTTAAAGATACTGCTGTGGAAACGAAACAGAAACACGCACACCATATAAGTAGTTTTATGCTGGATTCATAAATGTAAAGTCTCTGTTAAGTGGCCTGTGTTGACAACAACAATGTGGCCAGAAAGTTGAATTCTGCTCACTATACCAATGCACTCATGAAAATGGAGTTAAGTAAAGAGGAAAAATTAAATAAATGGCAGAACTACACACAACACCTGGGCATTCTGGAAAAGTGCAGATTTGGGATATTTAAAACAGAACTCTTTATTATTATTTTCTGTTGGTTGAGGGGATGGGAATAGAACAGCTTTTTATTTGTATAGCTGCGTTGTAAGTTACATTGTTATAATTACCTTCAAATTCCTTTTTAGAGAAGGTCTGAAAACCGCTGAATCTATCTCCATAACCATTCCCCCAGACACCCAGATACACATGAAAAAATTCTGGTGGCCTAAGATTTCCTGTTTAAAATTGTTCTATTAAGGAATAGAGTTGAAGCCTGAAACTTCCAGTGTAGTGTTTTTGGTGTTCCACTCTTGATGCAGTTGATTAATATCTTAACTTAAAGGTTTGTTTAAAACTTTGAAGCATAGTTTTTTATAAATACCTACTCTCAAAATAGTACCTGTGATATCCTCAATTTTTGTACTTCCTTACCAAAGCTGGTTTTTTGTTCAGAAACAAGATCGTAGCATCTGTGTATGTGCACAGTCCTCTGATTTTTCTCAGATGCTATTTGATGCTAAGGAATCAACTTTTATTCTTTGCTATGGTGTAACTAATAAAGGCTGCAATTCTCCAAGTTAAAAAAAAATTGATTTTTTTTTTTTACTAATTTTTAATGAAAAGTAACGATTAGCTATAACGAATATGCCTAAGTATTTAGTATGAGAACCCTAATCAGGATTTCTAATTACTGTCAGAGTACAAGTGACCAACTCTGAGTGCAAATTGTTGACTAAATCACTGCAAAGACTATAGAGTGCTATTTACTGGAGTTATAATGTGCTTTTACAAATTGGCTTTCTCTTTATCAGACCACCAGTATTTCAACAGCCTGTCATATTCCTTGGTGCAGATGTAACTCATCCGCCAGCTGGAGATGGAAAAAAGCCTTCCATTGCTGCAGTGAGTAAATTGTGTAATGATCTTTAACCCCTGCTCTCTCCTGCTGCTCAGCTCTAATGCGTTTTATTAGTTTCAATTCTTTTGTGGTCCATTTCTTCTGGTTGCCTAATTATAGTATTATAAATTATTTTTCTGCAGGAATCTAATGAAAGTTTGGAGAGTTTGCTCTGATACTACTTAAATGTGTGTATTAGCTTGTAAAATGCCTGAGCTGCTAATACGTAGAGGAGCTTTTCTATTAGCTGATATTTATCAGCAACCTGTAATAAGCTGGTGCATGTTTAAATCTGCTCATTCAGCAGTTAAGAATGTTAAGAATTTATCCATTACTGATAGAGAACTAGGCTGGCTCAGTTGTGAGTTTTGGGGATTCAAGCTTCCTGACAACACAGAATGTGCATTAATCTTTTTGGAAATATACTCCTTAAATACAGGGGACAGCCTTTGACTTGCGTTATGTGAAACACCTGTAGTGGCTGTTCTGACTTATTTAATAATGAAGATCTTTAGTGGCAGTATGTGCAGATCTTAGCCTGTGGTGCTAAATAAACAAATACCTATTTCAAAAAATTCTATGCGTGTGTCTAGGGAAAACCAGGTGGTGATGTGCTTAGTTGTGATTTTTGATATACGGAATTTGGATATTTTTTGTTTGTCTGTTTATTTTTAAGTCCTATGCCACTTTTTTAATATATGAATTTTGATGTCTCATAAACCAAAAAATCCCTTCCCTTAGCGAGCAGTGTCTGTTTGGTGGGGGATATTTCTGTGGTGCCTCACCATTTCAGTTTGATGGGTTTATCCACAGTGTCCCAGAAAGCGACTCGATCTTCAAGAGTTCAAATTCTATGCTGCAGTCCTGACTAAACCAATGGTTTCATGGTATCCATGCTCCAAACTGTATTTGTTTTTTTAACTGTATCTAGGGGCAAATAGGAAATTAGTCTTTTAGATTTAAAATAAGTTTTCTGTTTCCGCAGAGTATGCTACCAAAGGTAGACTAAACTCAAAGCTCTTTCCAAGCACATTATGATTCTGACTGCATCTTTGCTAGGTCAACCCCTTAGTTTACAAGATACTGGTAAAAAGATAGTGAGGTGATCCTCATGAAATACCTTTATTGAACTGCTTTTAAGTTTGGTTTGATACTAAACGTTTTTTCAACAGGTTGTAGGAAGCATGGATGCTCATCCTAATCGATACTGTGCCACTGTTCGGGTCCAGCAGCACCGCCAAGAAATCATTCAAGATTTGGCTGCCATGGTCAGGGAGTTGCTTATTCAGTTCTACAAATCAACTAGATTTAAACCAACGCGTATAATCTTCTACAGAGATGGCGTTTCTGAGGGGCAGTTTCAACAGGTTATATTTTTCTTTCTGAGATTTTGATTATGTAGTTTTCTGGTAGTAATGTAGTTTTATATAGTTGGAGTTATGAAAAGAAGTATACCCTCAACAAATCTTCCCTCAACAAATTTGTTGATTCTATCCAAACAGAGCAGGGAGAGTCTTTTCATATTTTTCATTAGCTTTTTTTTAGTACTTTTCCCCTTTAAAATACTTCCCTTTGAAATTATAAGTGAGAAAGTATAATTTTAGCACTCAAGTTACGGTCAACATCTGTGACCTATTCAAGATACATTAGTCAAACTGATTCGCATAGAAATTGGACAGTGAAGAAAAACTAAGTGTAAGTTAATTTTCCTACTTTTTTAACCAGGATTAATAAATGCTGTATTTTCACACTGTCACTTTTCATTCATTCCTGATAAAATTCAACAAATACTTTCTTGTACTTGTTTTGTTTGCTGACAAGTACCATCTTTTATGAAATATTTTTCTATTCATTTTAAAGGTACTTACATACGCTTTCCTTTCCTGTATTTTTTATATGTAAGTTAAAAGATACAGAATTCAGTCAGCTTCTCAGAATCCAAGGGGAAGGGAGTAAAGGTCACTTAGTAAACCTGAATTAATAAAATAATCTTTGTATGGACTTCTGATTATTTTTTCCCATTTATCACTGTTGTTCACTGAATTGTTAATTTATAATTAACCCAAATCCCAGACCATTGCTGTTTGTTTTATTGCACTTCCATCTCTCTCAGTTTTTACTGATGCCTGTAGTCCTGCATAAGAATTCACAAAGCTGGGAAAGAGCATGCGGTTGAGCAATTCTGGATTTTATCCCATGTACTAGTCTGAAAAATAATTAGGCTGTTGTATATTCAACAGCCTAAGTAAATGTTCATTTGTATTTGGCAGTTAAAAAGATTTTGACATGCAGCTTTATTAGTCCAAGCCTCATGCTTGGAGCTGAACAAACATGGAGCCAGCTCTCGCCTGGCTCAGGCAACTGGTGATCTAATTTGTTCTCATTAAGTGAAGAAATTACGGTTTGATCCTGCCTGCTTTGACATCTCATTACTCTGAGTGACAATGCAAGAAGGAACATGACAAATAAGAGTAATCTATAGGATAGCTATCTTGTGTATTTATCCTACATCTTTATTTTTATGATTCAGGTTCTCCATCATGAATTGCTGGCTATCAGAGAAGCATGCATTAAACTAGAAAAGGATTACCAGCCTGGAATTACATTTATAGTTGTGCAGAAAAGGCATCACACCAGACTCTTCTGTACAGATAAAAATGAACGGGTATGTTCTATTTGTGACCAGCAGGTATCTAGCAGGCAGCCAAGTTACCTATTACTTACTGCTTATTTAAGCAATAAGAGACTTGTTTGAAGAACTACGCAACATAGTGGGTGAGATCTTTCTACCGGGAAGGGAAAACCTTCATTTTCTGTCCCATATAATAAACTGGCAAGAAGCTTTTATGAAACGTCAACAGCATGTGCCTTTCAACAAGTCCATCCATCCTTTTTTAAGTTCATCAAAGTTTTCAGGTTTCTTTTCAGTTTGGGTTGTTTTGGGGTTTTTTTTTTTTGCTGTTTCAAGATCCTCAAGGGTTGAGATTGATCTGAGTAGTGTGGCGTTTGTAATGTAGATGTTTACATCTGGAACAGTTACCTCGGGCACTCTTTGTTGTAAATGGAGATCTGTTTAGTATTCCTAACACACTTCAAGGCACATTTCATCTGAGTCTAGTAGTAAGTTCACTGGTTTCGTTGCCATTGACTACGGAGTGACTCTTGGGTTAGCAGCTGAGATGCAGACACCTGCTCAGTAGGCACTGAAATTGTTGGGTAAGGTGAACCTTACACTTCCAGAATACTTTCTTTTCCATTAATGCTACCTTTGAGGTATCTTGGGTGTCTAAGTTATTAGACATCTGGAGTTCGGTTTGGGCATATCAAGTGTCACAACGCATTATTTGTAATACTGAACATGTCAAATTGTTTTATGAGTGTTATTGTACCTGTGAATTACATGTAGAAATATCTGATTCCAGGTTTCTGGGTGGAGAGGGACTCCTTAAGTCTAGGATGGAGTCATTGCTCTAAATGGAGAGTTCCTAATGGCAAACCTCTGTTCACAGATAGGGTTTTTCATATTCTTTTTCCTTCTATCAGGCTTCTCTGTGTGACCATTTGAAGCCGACTAGGCTTCAGGGCAATAACTAATAACTTTTAACGGTGACATGAAGGTGGGTTTTGTATTGGTAACATGCTATGATTACAGTTGTTAAATTGTTTTAAAGAGTATTTTTAAGTTCTGCTTTGAAGTAACATGTTTGTGAGGGAAGAGGCGGCCTGTGTTACAACTATGGGTTGTCCTGTTTCAGGAACAAACAAGAAAAGTTACAGAAGGCTAAGCTGTCCTGAAATGGGAAAGTGAAAAGAATTCGATAAATCAGTTGCAGGAAATTCTCTTTACATTAATCAGAAAAGCTGATCTTTGTAGGTAACAACTTAGAAGATTTTGCAGCTCAACTTTTTTTTTTCCTCCGTAGCAGAGACATTCCAGATTTTCAGCTGAACAAAATTTCAGTTTTGTTCATTCTTTCTTGACTTTTTGCTTTTTAGAGATTTTTTTTTTTCCTGTGTTTCTTCCTTACTATACAGCTGAAAAGAAAAAAAAAACTTTGTGCCTTACTACATTTACATTTTCTGTTCACACAGGTTGGAAAAAGCGGAAACATTCCGGCTGGTACCACAGTGGACACAAAAATCACACATCCATCAGAGTTTGACTTTTACCTGTGTAGTCACGCTGGTATTCAGGTACAACATTTTGTGTGGGATGGTAACTTTCAAAGATAACGCTGGCTGTTGGTATTTCCCACGTTCTTTGCACAGGAGACAAACGGTACAACTTCCATCTGTGTGTTTCAGCTTTTTGTCTGTGCCATTCACAGTGCTCTTCTGTCATTGTTTAAAAGAAATAATGAAACTAAACAGTTATGAAGCACACCCTGTGCATTAAGTTTATTGTGCTTCTCTCCTGTCTATGTATTGCTTTGAATGGTAGCAAGGTAGTTGGACTATTTTACATAACTGCCTCTTGCATTAAATTCTCTTAAAATGTGCATTCATTTCCTAGAGAACAACTAATACATTTAGGTAGTACCATTGTAGTTTCACATTTTCTTTTGATTTTTTCTTCCCAGTCAGAAGCAGAAGCTATTAAATAGCAACGGTACTGAAAGTCAAAATTGAATACTCTTTAAAAAAGTGTATTCAACAGGGGCACAAGTTAGATTGCTGTTAGCTATTAATGTTTTGCCTAAAGCTACTTTATATGATGGCTTTTTGCCAGATCGAAGTTTCACATGATAAAAGTGCATTTCAGTAAGATCATTTAATTTTAGTAACAGGGATGAAATTCTAGAAAATTCAATCCTATCAAAAAATGCAAAGGGATTAGTTATATGGGGAGCAAGGAGGGAGGTGGTTTGCCTTTTTAAAGGAAAAATTTGCTGAAGTATGTAGAATTGCTCACATGTGACTTTTGAGGAAGCGGCCGGTTATACTGCGGTTCACCTGCAGAGGTGGAAATTTAAAAAGATGTTTTTGAAATGCTGATGTCCTGTGTGATCTGCTTTCAGGGAACAAGCAGACCTTCTCATTACCATGTCCTCTGGGATGACAATCGTTTCTCTTCGGATGAACTGCAGATTCTTACCTACCAGCTGTGTCATACGTATGTACGCTGTACTCGTTCTGTTTCTATCCCTGCACCAGCATATTACGCGCACCTGGTTGCCTTCAGAGCCAGGTATCATCTGGTGGATAAAGAACACGATAGGTGAGTAGCATTGTTTGGAATTATTAGAGAATTTGAAAGGAAGCAGGAAAGAAGTGGGCTTGTTAATTCTGGGGTCAGTAGTATCCTCAGTTAGCAGTATGAGGGTAAATTTGGTCTTACCACTGAATTATATTGTGGTAAAAAGCAGAGGACGTTCCTGTACGCTTCTGTGCTTTTTTTCTATTTCAGAACTTCAGTGGTGTTTTAAGGGTAAATAACTTTTGACTGTTCTGTTCAGAAGAAATAAATGATACAAAAAACGTTACATGCAAGGAGAGACAGATTAAATAGGGTTTCTTTCCCCCCCCCACCTTTTTTTTTCTTTTTTTTCTTTTATCTTCCACTCCCACCTCCGTTCTTTTTCAGTGCTGAAGGAAGCCACACTTCCGGTCAGAGTAATGGCAGAGATCATCAAGCACTTGCTAAAGCAGTTCAAGTTCATCAGGACACGTTGCGCACTATGTACTTTGCTTGACATGTTTTAATGTTTAGCGACTCAGTACAATACAGAGTTGGATTCACATGAGACCAGCTGCACTTAGACCAACAGTTGCCCGAGCTACAGTGACAGCCAGCAATGAGTGATGCATCTTAATTTTTTTTTTCTTTCCCATTTGCAAGAAAGCCTTCCGTCCAGAATTTCAGACTTGATTACGAACTGCATTCTTGTACCAAACCCCACTATTGTTGGAAATGTGATTTGCCAAAAATCTCTAAGCTGCTTGGTATAAAACAGACCCATATTTTGTAATTAAATCAAGAGCTGTGATCTCAGGGCTTAGGGGCAAAAAAAAACCCACCAACAACCCAACCCACAAAACTCCTCATTCAATTTGCTATTCATTGAATTGCTTTTAATAATTTGGAAAGATCTAATTCATACTAAGGTTTGATGGGCTAAAATGCTGTGAATTAGCTTTTAATACAAAGGAAAGCAAAGCATTTTTTGACTATTTATGAAGCCTTGATTATTCTAGATGCATTTACAAAATTTTTATTTTCAAAAGAAGAAAGTGACAAAATTCTGGTTTTCAACTGTGTTATAAAGATTATTCTCTGTGTGTCTAAGGGCAAATGTATTTTCTGAAGCTTGTTCTTGAATGTTTTTTATCGTGCTGCATTTGAAAATGTTTTTCATAGACTAAAGAAAAATTTTAAAATGAATGAACTTGTACCTAAGCTTTTAATAGGTCCAGTTAGATTGGCAAAAGAAAATGTGCCATTTAAAAAAAAAAAAAAAATTGTAAAGAATTTTTTTAAATCATACTGACAGCTAACTTTAGAATTTGTCATACAGGACTGTGACACTTACTTTCCAAAGTCTCTAAAGAATACGGGTCTGTGGTGATAAATACAGTACAATCCTTTTTCACTGTTGAGTTAATGTAAATTTTATATATGTTTCACAGTATTAATGTGATAGACTAGATGCTATTATTTATTTTTATTTACTAAGGAGTGCTCATTATACTTCTGTTAACATATCAAGAATGCTTTGGATTTAGAAATTAAAACCTTATTGTGGGGACATTACTATTCAAAAGCAAAAATATGCAATTGACTTTGTGAGAGTTCAGAGCTACGTACAGTGTATATTGTATAGCTTGTAATTTGTAGAAAGGCTTTTTAAGCGTGCACACAACATAGCAGGTTTTACCTGTGCAGTTCAGAGACGCACACAAGACCAACATTCTACGTTCCTTCAAGCACAAAACAATTGTATTTTATTTATATGTTGAATATTGGTGAAGCAGGAGCTCTGATAGGGGAGGGTGGCTCACTTTGTAATTTAGACAAAAGTCAGAGAATCTATGCAGTAAAGATAAATCTTAGGAAACTGAAGTTTACTTATGAAGGGAGGTGAAACTCTCTTCATTATGCATAATGTCAATAGTAAATGTGAGAGTTTTGCCATACTCTTAGGAGAAGCATTAATTAAAACTGATAATTACTAGACGAACGCTTCTGTTAGTTTGCACACTGGGTTCATAAAAAACCATAATACATATGTAAACCATTGCACTAATATGATGCCACAAGCAGGTTTAGAAGAAAATGAAAAAAGCCCAGGAAACTTGTTTATGCTGACTTGATTTTGTTTATTTTTTTTCATAGGATAACTGAAATAACATGCTAAGAGGCAGGTTTTAAAGATTTCATTCTCTTCCACTGATTCATTTTGCTTCGTCTTTTCCCTTTTCTCTTAGCAGATGCTCAGTCACTGTTTTGATTATATTTACCTCTAGCCACTGAGTCGGGCGAGTAGCTTTAACCAATACAGAGGTCTGTGCCATATAGCGGATAGACTATAACCGGTTGCTGTTGAGTAAGCTAGAAAATGCCCAACCTTTGCTGCATAAAGAGTTTTAGGTACATAACTTTGTGCAAGTTCAGATCTTCACCCTGTAGCAGTGTGTTGATTGTCGGTGATGTTTAGGTGAAATAACGATGTAAAACCTGTTAATAGATTAGTTGTATTTGTATTATTCTAATTCGGTGATTAGGCTGCTGGGTCTTTTTGGTCATAGTAATGTAAATCCAGACTTTAAATTATGCTGGTATAACGGAAGGCAAATTCCAAGTCACATTGTCTGTCTTCCTGTGTTCCAACCAGGTTGTTCGTACCTCCCCTAATGTACCGCTAAACTGCAAAACCTTTCCATGGTGGGTACGTTGCACTTCTCTGTGCGTTTGCTTGAGAAGTTTGATATTTCATCAAAGATTTTAATTTGGCAGAGTTTTATATAAGAATTATTTTTTTTATGTGAATTATTCTTAACAAATAGGAAAAAGATCAACCGTTTTAAGATGCCATTTAGTTTATTTGCTGTTCGTTATGCAGAGACCTCTTGGATGTGAAATTCATCCTCCTCTTTCCCCTCCGTGCCAATCTGGAATTAATGACTTATACAGGTGGTCAGATGGGGTGAGGAGGGCAGAATCTGTCTTCACTTCTAATCTTAGTTCTGAAGCAGGCTGTGGGACTTCACTACATCCTGTTTAGGATGTATCGTTTGAGCTGGAATAGTCATTGCAGCTCCTTTTTGTGAGAAAGGGAGTACTGGGCAGACCCTTAATCAAAGAGTAGCTGTTGTCCGTGTATTCTCTTGGAATGAACAGAAATTTTGTGTAACTTTCTTTCCCTGAGTACGAAGAACTTGGGATGGTTACATGCATTTCAGGCGAGGGACATCTTTACCTCTTACAGATCTTTTTAAGCCTCTAATACTGCTAATTCTCCCTCCTTTCTTGTCCCCTCCCACTGTCCACAAGTGGTGAATTAGTGAATAATTTTAAGCATTTTTCTAAAAAGTATTGATTAAGTATATACTTTGAAAAGTACAGCGTGCTGCAAGTCCAGCAGCTATCTTTTTGGGAATAATTTTAATATAAATTACATATTCAAATATGTCTCCTCAAAAAAAACCAAACAAACCAGAAACAAAACCCAAACCACCCTGAACACCTATAAAACCCTACTGGTCGTTGTTTTTTTTTTCTTACCTCCCTTCTGTCTTGTAAGAACAGCAATATCTCAGGTAAACACAAAGCTCCAGATGTCTCTGTCTCACACACATTCCTACTGTTGAAGTCACAGTTGAGGTTGGCAGTTATAACAGTTATAACCACTAAGTCACTATGCAGCTCAGGTCAGCAATAACCAAATGTGCATTACCCTCTGGCAGTTGTTTGTTGGTTTGTTTTGTTTTTTTTTTTTCTTTCCTCCAGCCCGTGCAAAGAAGTTGCGTGACTCCCATTGCAAAAGGGCGCTGGGCAGGACCTCATCCCTCGCCTGCCTCTTGCTCTCCGTTATGTTCCTGGAATGACCTTTTGCTTCAATTCAGCCCTCGGTGCAGGCGGTCCTGGTGCTTAGCAGTCCTGAAAACTGATAGTAATTGTACCCCGGTGACAAAAATATCTTATTCCCATTGCAGGCGTGAGCAGTGTGGTGGACAAACTGACAACTGCCAGTACCGCAGTACTTCTTTTGTTTTCAAGGAGTGTGCTTGAGAGATGAACAGATATTAATGAGTTGTCTGCTATGGATTAGTCTTCTCTGAGTTTGTGTTTTCTTTTTTACATGGAAATGGTAACGGTATTGAAACACAAATATTCAAAGATAGAAACTGCTTGTAGAATCACTGTCTTTGGGGAGGCTCAGACTTGACTGGACAGGTCCCTGCACAGTCTCAGCTTGCTGGACCTTGTTTGAGTAGGGGGCTGGACCAGACATCTCCAGAGAGCCCTCCTGAAGTATGTGGTTCTGTGGCAACCCCCCAAAAACCAGCAGCAGCAAATGCGAAATGCTTCCGTCAGGAGGTGAAAAATAGTATCAACAAACATAAAATACTTTAAAGCTGTCTCTTTTTTTTTTTTTTTTAATGTACAAAATATAATGCAATAGTTAGGTTTGCTTGGTTTTGGGAATTTCTGCTCCAGTGGCTGAATAGAGTAAAGTGTCCGCTCCACCTCTTCTAGCGCCCAGGAAACAGCTGAGTTGATTCTTGGGAGGAAAGGTCCTGTTGTGAAATGTTGGAAGTAGGTGGATTTGTCTCTGCCTTATATGAGGTTGGCATTCCAGATAGCCCTATGCAATCTTAACACTTTTAGTTTGTATATATGCACTGATGTATGGAGTGAGATCACTTGTTTTTACTAGGATTCCTTATTGTGGCTCGGTTTGGTTTAGACTATTTCAGCAACCGTATTTGGCTTGCTGAATTGCAATCAATGATATTCTGTGTTACAGAAGCCTTGGTACATTAATTTCCTTGTTTCGAGATCTGTCAGATTTTGAGTGAGTTTGCTGTTTACCCCAGTTGTTAGGGAAAGGTGTTGTGTCTTAATCTGCTGGAGCCAGCGTGGAAACTTATGCTTAAAACAAAAATCCATAATAAATACTTTTGATCTTCTTCCAGGCCCCCAGGCTGTGTTTCCTGATTGTAAAAGCAAAAAGGTTGTGAAGATTTAGTTTTAATTCGGGCTCTTATCAATAACTCCTGCAGCCTTTGTCCATTTTTAACCTAAGTCTTGTTTTCACGTTAGTGTATCATTGTTATAGCTAAGACGAGATAATATTTCCACAAGGATTTTAAATTTAAATTTTTGAAGGGTAGGTGGGGGAGGTTAGGTTTTTGTGTGCCCAGGTTACTTTCTGAAAATATTGACGTTTCTATTCACGTTAAGATGCTTCTGAAGCTTTTATCTAAGTCATATGTGTACGTGCACAAAGGCTTTCTGTTAAATAGAAGATTGCGATCTGGAGGGCTTTGTGCATTGCTGCCAATTCTGTTTTCTTTACTGCAGCAGAGGGTCCTCAAATACAGTGGTCGTGTGTGTCTCGCCTGTAGAAACCTCAATCTTTCTCATGCCGATGAATCTCTGAAATTTAGTTGAGAGCAAGGATGACACCCCCCAGCCAGATCAGGTGGATTGTTCTAGGGTTTTTTTTAGCGTTCATGCCGATTGTTCCTTTTTGAGGAAGGAAGTTGATATCTTGAAGTGAGAACAGGTCAGTTCTGCACATTATGCTTATTCAAGGCTCTGAGTACTAAAAATGCAAGACTGGGACCGTTGGAGATTTAGATGGGAGATACTTGCCTCTTGATGTAATGAAGTAAGCATCTCTGGTGGCATAAATAACCCAAAGGGACTTTTTGGTTGTTTGGGTTTTTTAAGAGATCTTTTACACATTAAATAAAGGAATGTAAAAAAAGTTCTCACTCAGTATTTTTCACA